AATAAATGACTGCTAGGGGTACTAACGAGATATGATTGGTCGGGCAATGGCGCCTATATCCATACAGCTTTTTATAAAAGCTCTAATGGGTCTTTTTTATTCTACTAAACTTTTTGAACACAATTTTTATAAAGTTATTAGGAAAAACTTTATTTTTCTCTTTTTCCCATTTATTAATGATGATGCCATTAAAAATTCCCTTTATTAATAAGCATGCGCACGAGAAAAAAAAATTCTATTTAAATTCCTCGTAGCCTTCTAACTTCTAGTATCTTCATCACGTGAGGGATACGCCAAACGTAAGAGCATCAACACTGACTGGTTCGATTAAAAAATAAAAAAGAGCGAATCCTGAGAATGTACCACCCGTCCAGCCAATGAGAAAAGGCGTGTTGCTGAAGCTACACTCACTCGCAAAAATTGCTTTCCAGAATATAAATTGAGTGCTCTTAATTAAGGTTTTTAATTCGTTAATAAAATTGACGCTCACGTGTTGAATTAAAAGAGACTAGTTGAGGACAAGTGACCATAGCAAAGTAGTAATAAATTGAGCGCACTTTAATTCCTTAATTTGCTTATATGTTTTAAAAACAACCAATTAAAAACTCGTTGCAGCAAAGGAAATATGTATATATATTTTATGACCGTTTGTTGGGTAACAATTTTTATATATATAAACAAACAATTTTTTCTAGCCATTATTGACTGCCAGTTGCTATTTAAAAAAATTTTTAGGAAATTTTTTTACACTATTTTTTTATTTCTCATAAAAACTCAACTACATCCATTTGTCAAAAAAAATTATATAAAAATAACAAACCATCAATAAAATCAACGACTGGTTCAAAAAAAATTGAAGACGAGATTATTTATGTTTTCAACCAATAAAAATAACTTTTATTACTGTATTTGTAAGTAATTATCATAAGAGTCACAAAAAACTATACAAACCAAAAACACAAATAAAAAAAAGTTATGATACAAAATTTATTATAGTAATAGATTAAATAAATAAATTCGCAAGTGTACAAAGATTTAATAAAGCAAATAGTAAAGATCCAATATTATACTAAAATAAAAATAGTAAATATTTAATAAAAAAATTAATATTATTTTATATACTTATTTTGATAACCAAAAAAAACTAGTCGTTATTAAAAGTATTTGTAGAAAATAAATAAAAGTTTGCGATATAGAAAAAGAGTTGATAGTACAATAATAATAATAATAATAATAATAATAATAATAATAATAATAATAATAATAATAATATCAAGTTCCTAATTTTTTAAGCAACATAGTAACCTTTAGCCAATGCCAAATAAAAATGTTCGCCAACATGCACAATAAGATTTTTAGCGATGTTGGGACTCTTTAAACAGAACCAGCAGTCCTCTTCCGGCTCTTTTTGGTACTGCACGCGTTTGCAAACTTTTATAAGTAATAATAAATAAAGAATATTTATTATTACTATTAATTATTGAAAAAAAAATTATTATAACTTTTTATTGAGTTTATGGAACCTTTAATAAAAAAAATATTTTTCCTATAAAAATGGTCGAGCAAATTTTATTATTATTATATAGTTCACTCAAAATTAAAATTTTTATTTAATTATTTTCTTCACACCATTTTTTTCACCAATACATTTTTTTATCTCTAAATATAAACTTTTCTTAAACCTTTTTTTTACATATTAACTACTTACAAATAATAAACTATTATATATTTAGATTTTTATAACAAAAAATAAAAAAAAGTGAATATCGTAGAAATAAAGGTATATTGCCTACGATAAAATCATATAGAAAAATATAATCAATAGTAAAATTATAAAGTAGTATACTTTTATAAATAATAAAAGAAATATTTATACTTTTTTTAATTATTTATATAATTTATTTAAATTTCATTATTTTTTATTTTTATAAAGCATTTATTTATTTATTATAATTACATTTTTTTTTTTAAATTCATTATTTTACTCTCTTTACAACAGTTATTTATTATTTATTATAATTATATTTTTTTAGATTCAGTATTTTACTTTCTTTAAGAATCTATTCATTATTTATTATAGTTATTTATTTTTTACATTCATTGTTTTTTATTTTTATAAAGCATATTTTCAATATTTACTATAAATTTTTTTTTAAAATCCATTAATTTTTTTTTTCCTTTTTCCACAGCATTTTTCATTATTTTTTATTTTCTTTATAGCACTTCTCCACTAGTAATTATAAAAATAAATTTATTTTAAAAACATTATTTTATTTTCATAAAGCATTTTTTCATTATTTATAATAATAATAAATAAAATTCATATACTTTGTATTTTCTTTCATTATAATTTTTACATATCATTAAAGTTCATTATTTTATTTTCTTTACAGTATTTTTTCATTATTTATTATAACTATATATTTTTTAAATCAATATTATTGATTTTTTATTTCTTATATCCGAAATATTTTTTTATTCCTAATTTTATTTTCTTTATACCATTTTCTTCCGTTATTTTTTATAATTTTATAATGATTAAAATCCATTATTATTTCCTTATAAAATTATTTTTATTATTTATTATTAGTAATTCATAATAAAAAGAACCATAAAGAGAGCAGTCGTGTATAAAATGGCCGGGAACTTTGCAAAGGCGGCAAACGTATCCCGGCGGAGTCATTGCGCCGCTCTAGAGAAAGGTATAATGAATTCTTATTATAAATAAGATATAATATAAATACAAAAAATAATAAAGAAAAAAAAAAGTAAATAATAATAAAGTATTCACGTGATAACTGTGAAAAGTAAAAGAAATCAAAAAATTATAATTAATATTATTAATTATACAAATATTAATATATTCGAAATATTAACAAAAAATATATATATATTCTTTATTAAACCATTTTAAAAATATAAAAATAACAAAACAAAAAAATATAAGAAAAGTGAAAAATATTAAAAAATATTAGAAGTTATTTTGTAAAGATTACTAAAAATAAATATCGAAGAAAAAAAATATATATATAAATAAATGAAAGTGATGAAATAAGATAGAAAATATAAAAGGAATAATATGATACCTTTTTTGATACATCGATTTTTTAAAAAATATATATAATATAAATATAAATATATAATAAGTATTATAAAAGCAATATATTAAATTAAGATTTTATGCAATGATAAAAAATAAAAAAATATAAAAGTAAGAATATAAATTTTTTGATACCGATTTTAAAAATATATATAATATTAATATAAATAATTAATAGTAATAAAATTATATAAAAGTAGATAATACAAAAAAAGTTTTTTGTAAATAATCATAAAATAGAAATATAAAAGAAATAATATAATTTTCTTTAATTTATTCTTTTTTGTCGCTTATCGATTTTATGCAAAAATTCTTGTATAGCCGGCTCTCCTAATTCACCACGAGGTTGACAGTCACAAGAGTTTTAAACAACGAGGAAAGAGTTTATTTAGTACAAATATTATAAGCGCCCTTTTTTCAAGTAAGACTTCTAGCGTAAATTTTTTTTAATGCGTTATTAAAACTGATCAATACCATGAATATTGGGGTATATTTTTAATTGCAAAAAGTGCATTAGTTTTCTATAATGTTTATATATTTTTCATTTTCTTCAAAATATTTATTATTTATTTAATAATTTTTATAATATTTTTTCAAAACTTTCATAAAAAATTATTATATATAACAAAAAGCAACTCGAAAGTTTTACCAAAAACATAAGCAAAATAAAAACTTTACAAAAATTTTTATAAACTTTCCTTAAAATATATTATATATATAATGTAGATATTCATAAAAAAATATATACAAAACTTTTCTCTTGGGAAAATTTTCTTGTTCAGCATAAAAATAACTTTTCTGGGGAGTTAAATAAGAATTACTCTATAAAAGTTTTGAAAATTTTATTATTTTATTAAATAAATTATGATAATAAATACTTCATTAAAAGTATTTCGTGCAAACGGATTTTCCGTTGTGCCTATAAAAAAATTATATTAAAAAGTTTTGGATTTTTTAATTAAAAAATAATTAAAAAAGAAGTAAATTTCATAAATAAAACTTTTATTGGTAAAAAAGGTTTAAAAATTCATTAAATACATTAAACGAAAGCAATTGTTAAAAGCTTCATTATACTAAATGAACTTCTTAAAAAAGATAACTATTTTATAAATTTAAAACATATAAAACGCAAAATATTTAATGAATTAATTAAAAAAAAATAGCAAAAGGTAAACCAATAATAAAGTATCAAATAAAAATTTATAATTAATTATCAATTCTTAATATATAAAAATTCATTATTTTATTATATGCAAGATACAATGACTGCATTAAAAATAAGGGAAACAACAATAATAATAATGATAACCAATTGGCTGTTCAAGCAACAATGAAAGTTTCATTTTACTCATCGGCAAAACGTTAAAGGCATAAATATACTTGAATAAATATATTAAATAATAAATAACACATTTATTTGTATTGAAATAAAATAGTAAAAAAGTTAATAAATATTTAAATAAATATAAATAAAATGAAAGTAAAAAATTAATTAAAATCTAAAAATTTATAGACATAGAAATAAATATTTTAAATTTTTGAAAAAATATTTTCATTACTTCTATTTTTTTTCATAAAAATGAAGACATACATAAAATACAATTGATATATATAAATACATCTTAAAAAATTAATATAACAATAAGTAAAAGAATAATAATAAATTTGCAATAAATATTATATAATAAACTATAAAAATCAGTAATATTCTTGATAAAAAGAAAATACCAGGAAATTATCAGTAAAATTATAATGAAATAAAAAGTGCCAAACGCTAGAAGTATGTTCAAAGTATAATAATAATTATTTAGTTGATATATCATTAAAACTTTTGCATTAAAATCAATAAAAATCCATAAATATAAAGAAAATTATATAAATAGAAAAAAAAAAACTCTGTGCTTGGCAGCGTTAGAAAACTCGGCTAAGCCCAAAAATCTTTAATGGTTATAAAAATAGTGAAACAGTTAAAAATAAATATAAAAAGTTTGTAACCTAGTCACGTGTGAAGAGGCGCTAAGAAGTGGCGTGTTACGGTAAGGAGCTCTTTCATAGAAAACGCCCTTAAAAATAAAAGCCAATAATATTAATAATAAATTTATAGTAATAGGGCCCAACAAAAAGCTTTAAAAGCATATTAAAAGTGATAATTTATAAAAATTAATACACAAAACAATAAATAAAGTGATGAAATGGTGATAAAGTAACAAACTTTTAATTATAAAAAAAATTAAACCTCGAGCCCAACATTGTAAAAAAAATGATATTAACCAAAAAAAAAAACTAAGCAATGGAAATTTAGTACTTTCTATTCACACGAAGTCGATTTAGTTAAACATGATAATAAAAATTCACAAATCCGTAATAATTTCATAAAGATAATAACAACCAATCATAGGTCGAATATTTCTTATGTAATAATATAATGAAAACTTAAACGGGCATAATAAACCTCGCCCCCAGCAAAGTGGTAACGAGGTTTCAAAGCCTGCGCTACACGTGCAATCTCATCAGTGCCGATTTTTAATGAGTCCAGCGCATCCAACGTTACGCTATTAATTAAAAAAATTATAAATAATTAAAGTGCAGTAATTTTTAACTTGTTAATAGAAAAAATAAATAATATCTATTTTTTTGGGTATTAAATAACAATATATATAATGAAAAAAAGCAAAAACTAGACTTATAAAAAAGTATGTAAATGTTATTAATATAAAATTTTTAATGAACGTAACAAAAAGAAAATACATTAAAAATTAACAAAAAATATATATATATTTAATGAATAAAAAAAAATATAATATTTTCATGTTATTTTACTTTTAGATAATAATATATATATTTATTAATATTATCATTATAATAACTGTAAAGTAAATTTTAATGTTGTATTTTAAATAGTATCATTCAAAACTTTTACAGAAAAAGATAATTCAAAGTAATGAAAGATAAACAGTAATCTAATGGATAATTCTTCTAAACAATATAAGCAGCATTAATAATAAAGTAATATTTATATTTTTTTTATAAGTATTAAAAAATAAAAAAGTTCTGACTTCAACATATTAAAAAAAGGGACGTATGCATAAAAATTATAGCACTTTTGGCCAATCAATCACTATCATTCCTCTTTTTTTTTAAATTTTCATTATTTAGTATTTTTTATTTATACGTTTCTTTTATTATTATTTACATTTTTTCAACTTATTCCTCCTATATATTTTTTTTACTTTAACTGTTTACTTTTTCTTATTAATTCTAAATTATATTTTTCCTCATTTTTAAAATAATAATATATTATATTTTTTTCATTTATTTTTGTTTTATTAAAATTTTGAAAAATTGATATTGATTAATATTAATAATAATAAAGAATAGCAATATATAAACATTTTTAAATAAGCATAGAACAGAAATAATAGGGAGACGAAGGAAGAAAATTAACTTTAGTTTTTTTTATTTGTGAAAATTGGAGCTTCACAATTTAGTCGATTATAATAAAATAATAACAGAAAAAATAATAAAAGTACTAATATTTATAAAGATTATTTGTTAAGCTAATAAAAAAAAATTAGAAAAATTACGAAAATGTTTATAAATAATATTAATAGTAATAATAAAATACTATTTATTATACATAGTTACTAAAATAATATTGTAAATTATAAAGATGCTATACTAAAATAAGAATATCTTTAAAACTTTATATACGAAAAAAAAGAATCACAGGTATTAATAATTAATAATAAAAATAATATTTCATAAATAATATTCTAAAAAAAATATTTATATTAGAATATTCATAACAGAAGTTGTTATTATTATTTACTTATTTATAATTTATTTTATAAAATTTTTTTTTGGATTTATAATTTTAGTAAATACTAGAATTTCTTATTATTATTTCTTCTATCGATATTATTATTTTTTTTGAAAAATAAAAGTTTTTAAAAAAAAATTATTTAAGAATCATAAAATTGTCATTAATATTTATTAATTTATTATTATATAAAAAATTTATTTTTAGTTTAATTAATGTTAAAATCTTTTATTATTATTTTATTCCTTTTAAAAAATAAAAGTAGCAATAAAAGCTTTACCAAACCCTTAAAAAGTGGTATTATTAATGTTAAATAAAAAAATGCGACTAAAAAAAATATTTTAATGGCTGCATAGAAAATATAATTCAAAGTAAACAAAAAAATTAATATTTAAAAAAATTTATTAAATATATAATAATATTTTTTTTTATATTATGTTAATAATAATTATAGCAAATAATAATTTTAAAAATAAAGATGATTACATGAATATTGAAATAGATAATAAAAACTTAAATATATAAAAAAATAATACATTCAAGTCTATATTAAAAAAAAAAGTAACCAGTAAAATATATTAAATCATATAATAAAACATTATTTTATAAAAAAAAAATTTTATTACATATAAATTATAATAATAAAAGCAAAAAAAAAGTAATATAATAAATTTAAATAATTTAATGAAAAAGTTATTATAAAAATAATTAATAATAAATTTAAATATATTATAAAATATATTGAAAATAAACTTTTCTTTATCTATTAGAACTGTAATTATATTTTTTTTACAATTTTTAATTGAATGACCTTATTATTATATATTATTCTATATAATAATAATAGTTATTTATAATATTATAAGGAAAAGTATTAATAATAGTTATAGAAAATATTATTATTTCAAAATAACTTGGATAGCAGTTAAATAAATATTTGTTCTTAATTATAAATATATAATAAAAATTGATTCACAATATTATAATAAATAAATAATAAAAAAATACATAATAACTAATATAACAGTTGACAAAATACGTATTTCATAATAATATAATAAAAGTCACATAAATATAAATAAAGTAATACTTTTAAAATTTCTATTAAGAAAAAAACAAGGAACAGAAATTTAAATATTTTAAAATAATAATAATTAATAAAATATTACTACAAACCTTACTAGCTCAACAATATTTCTGTATAATAATAATAAAAAATAAGTAAAAAGATATCTTTTTCTTTATGTAATTAAATATATAAATAATAACATAAAAAAATTAAAGGTATAATAAAATATATATTTGATAATAATTTACTATGTAAGCATAATAAGAAAATGTTAAAAGTAAAAGTAATAGAAAGTAAATCTGAAAAGTTTATTAAGTATCATAAACTAAAGAAATAATATAAATGAAAATATATAACCATAATCCTTAAAAAATAAATGAACCTATAATTTAAAAATTTTTTAAAATAATAATAAAAAGTAAAAGCAAGTAAATATAAATATTATTTATATAAAAAAATAATTGGTCTTTAAAAAAAATTATAATATTTAGATATATATGAATAATAATAATAAGGAAAAGCAATAAATATAAATATTTTTAAATAGGGAAAAAAAGGTGTTAAATTTTAGACATAGAAACATAATAATAACAATCTTACAAGAAAAGAATTATTACATTTATAAATTTATAAATATAATGAGGAGTAAAACAAAATAAAAATAAATATTATTATTAGAAAAAAAAAGTAATATATAATAATTTTTAAAAAAAACTACTTTCAAACAATTTATTATTATATTATATTAATGTAATCTTTTTATTACCTTTACGTATAATTCTTCGTTATTTATATTATTTATATATTATTAATATTATTCCTTAAAATTTTTTTAATATTTCAAGCTTTTACTTATTATATTTCGTTTATAAACAAAACTCTAAACTAATAATTATCTCCATAATAATATAATTTTTAATAAAATAATAAAGACTTTATAAATTAATATTATTATTAATTGCTTATTTACTAATTATTAATATTAATTTATTTTCTTCCTTTATTGTTAAACAAATTAATAACTTTATAATATAAAAATATAATAGCAGCTCATCGTTAACGTATATTGCTTTTATTATAAAAAAAAGTAAAAAATATAATAAACTTTACTATAAAAAATATTATAAATATAAAATAATATATATATGATAAAACTATAAGGTAGATAATTTGGTGAATTCGTAGCACAGTAAAATTACTAAATTGAGTAGTACACTAATTCAAAGGCATGAAATATTTATATTTTAATAAATATAATAATTTAATAAAAGTTTCATAAAATATTGAAAAGCATAAAATATTAAAGTTTACATATACTAAAAATACGCTCAAGTAAAGTATTATTGAAAGAAATATTACACTTACCATAAAAATATATTAAACATTTCGCATAAAAATATTTGGAAAAAAGTTTAAAAATATAATAAAACGTTACAAATTTGACATGTTATTAATGCCTTTTATTATTATTATAAATTTTTATTATTTTATTAAGTTATTATTATTATTTATTATTATATTACTTATTATTATTGCTTACATATATATATTAACTTTTTATTCTTTTTCGTTGTAAGGGGAGATGCAAATTGTGTAACGCCTTTCGGCCACTCAGACGTTAATAAAATATCAACCCCTTAAAAAAATAGATTTCATTAAAAAAAATATATATATAAAAAGTTATAACAATATTATAATTTTTGTATAAATTACTAATAAAAAAGAGGTTTTATAAGTTTTTAGATTTTTATTATTAAAGTCTAAAATTATTAACTTAATTTATATAAAATAATTAAAACCTTTAAAATTAGTGTCGTTCACTTTTTCAAGAAAAGTTTCAAGCTCTTTTTGAGTGTAACTCATGAAATCCTTCAAAAATTAAAAATAAGAAAAATACATTTAAATAATTTTAAAAAATACTAAAAACTTTAATAAAATATATTATTAGTAAAAAAAGGCAAAAGGATTTAAAAGTAATATTTAATATATTAATAAAGAAAAATAAAACTAAATGAATTAAAAATTATTAATTTTGCAAATCACACAAAGCATAAATATGAGAAAATTTAAATTAAAAAAGTCAACGAATGAAAAATAAAATATTAATATTATTATATACTAAAATCAACTAAAAATCCAATAATAAAAATTAAATAAATTTTTTAATAACTTCTAAATTGATTTTATAACAAAAAAGAAATTTCTGGTATTTATGAAATATATATAATAGAGGAGTAAAAAAACAATAGCGGAATTAACTTTTAACTATAAATAAAATTAAAAATTTGGAAAAATTCAATTTAAAGTTAATAAATTATATAATAAAATAATTGATATTAAAAATTACTTTTTCTGAATGTAAGGAATTGCTTAAACGACCACTCAGAAACGCGATCTGTAATCCCTCCAAAGTAGTAAAAAATCCCAATTTTCCTAATAAAAAAAGTAAGTTAGATTAAAAAATTAAGTTAAGCAAAAAGAAAAGCTTTGAAAAAGAATAAAAATTTGGTATTAAAAATATAATTAATAAAAAAATTAAATTATTAGAAAAAAATAAAATATGAATAAAGTTAAAATATACAAAAATATAAAAATATATATTAAAGTTAGAAATAGGCGACAAATTTATTAAAAAAATTATAATACCAAATTTCAAAAAAAGAAAAGAATCCAAAAAATTAAAAAGTTAGTAGAAAAAACAAAATTATAATTAAATTTCTACAAGGTTTTATTCATCTTTTCATTAACTTCTCTTTATATAATTTATTTTTTTTTATAAACTCTCCATCTCCGCTGTCTTTTATAATTAAATAAACACTGGTTAAATCAATTAAAATTGTTTACTTTGCAAAAAAGATAAAGCTACTTAAATATAACGAAATTTAAAAAAAATATTATTAACGAACTTACTCAAACAAAAATTAAAAATTAACAAATTAATTTAAAAATTATGCAACAAATTTTACCTAAATAAGTAACATTAGAACACATAATTCCTCCATGAAGTACTGATTGATAAAATTTTTTCTGGTTTTTGCCGGCACCGGCAATTATATATATAGGAACTTCCAACTCAACTACCAAAAAAACGAAAAAAACAATATTATTAAATAAAAAATATCTAAAGTTAAATTTAATATCAACCAAAAGTCCAAAAAACTAAAAGCTAGACTTTATAAACAACTAAAGTTCACATTAATTATTTTTTATATTAAACAAATTTTAATAGCTGTAAAACATTAAAAATTCACCAGTTTTATCTCCGTTAAGATAAGATAACCATTCTTCATTTTGTGAATTTTCTGAAAAGAAATTACCTAATTAAATTAAAAATAAATTTTGTTCTTTTTAAATAAAAAAAGCTCTACCAACACAAAAAATAAAATCAAAAGGACCGTTTTTACTATTGACCTGTTGTATACGTTCAAAGAAAATATCAAAATTTCCATTAACATCACCAGATACAAGTCTTATGTATAAAAAAATAAAGGAAGAAAGTAAAAGCTTCTTTCTAAAATAAAGAAAAAATTTAAAAATTAGATGTACAATATAAAAACTCTATATTTCTACATTTTTAAAGGAGGTTTCTGCTGGTGTTCCATTCTTTTTTTACTAAATAATGGAATAACACCTAAACATTAATTAATCCACGGTTATAAAAAATTGTAGAAAACCCCCACTTGACGTCACGCGAGACCAAAAACTTTATTTTAGCTTTTATTAAATATCAACTAAAAAAAGTTTAAACTTTTAATAAAAGAATTAACACTATAAGCTACATTATAGTATAAAGTTTTCGTAAAAGATTATATTTAGTACTTATAAAGATTAAGAACTACATAAACTTGTACAATAAATATTTTTTTATATAAATTAACTTCCTCAGCACTAGCACAATTCCTAAGTTACGAGCGAAGCACACTAATAATTTTAAAGTTTTTTAAAATGTCAACCTTTTAGAAATATAAGCTCTATAAAATTTTAATTTTTTTTTTAAAAAAATATAATTACTCTTAACTTTTTAGTTTATGAACCTAAGTGACCTACATTCAAAGTATTTTTGTTTTAATTTAACTTTGTCGGTTCCTGGCTGGCAAAGCATACTATTTTTTTTAATAGCAAATACACGTTAACTTTAAATAATTATAAAAAAAAAATAATCTACATATTATTATTATTTATGAAGGATTATTATTAGCCTTAACCCCTCTAGACGAAGAATCTATGAAACCTTGATTGTATTTTTAATCTTATTTTGTGAGCTTTAATAAGGGCAAATACATGCTAAACTAAATATTAATATTAAAGTAAGCTTCAAGGTGTTAAAAAGTTTTATAAAGGTTATTTCAAGTATCTAAGTTTATAAAGACAAAGATATGCAACGATTTTATATATAGATCCAAAATAATTTTGTTTGAATACTTTAAACTCATAAAGTGCTATATATTTGTTTAACAGCTACAGATAAGTTCGACTTCAGTGCAATCCAAGCGTTAACTTGACAAATTATAAAAAAAAAATGTTTTTAAAGCATTTTTCTTTATTTTAAAAGGCTGAAGAATGTTTTGATCTAAATATGCTTTTTAATTCTTTAATAGTATATATACTTTTATTATAACGTTGTAACCAAATTTTTTAAAAGAATATTTATAACTCAAACTTTAAAGGATGAAGAATCACTTTACTAAAATATATTGAATAATAACTATAATTGTAAAATGCAAAGTGCTTCTTTATAAATAATAAGCTCAGAATTTAGTTTATAGCTAAATAAAAGCTATTTTCTAAGGTTTCCATGAATTTTAATTATTTATTTAAAATTCTATTATCTTATAGTTCTATATTTTAATAAATTAAAAAATATATATTGTTTTCAAATGGATTAAAGTTTTCTTTTTGCTTCTTGAGTATAACTATATGGGTTTAAAAAACTTTTTAGATTTTTTAAAGTTTATTGCCTATTTTATTAATAAATGCAAACAAAAATAAATAAACTTATTCTTGGTTACTTCTATGGATTGTTTGTTCCTTTAAATTTTATAAATATTTAACTTTTTTTTTTCAATTTCGCGTATAGTGTTAACGTTTTTGCGCCGTTTAAGTTTCATATACCTGGTGAGCAACGCAATACAAATCATTAAACTTCTTTTTTATTAGTAAAAACATTATATTGACGTACTAATTTTAATTTACATATGTGAGAAAGAAGAAAACTTCTAGCAAAGTAAAAAGAAAAACGACGAATATTTAAGGTAAGCAAACAAACGGGGATATAACAAAAGTAGTAAGCTAAGAACATGTAGCTTTTATATACTAAACCTCCCCCACAGCTTTAAATATAAATTAATAAAAAATTAAGTTTTTGTGCCCTACTAAAGTGCTCGTAAAGACGATATACTAACTTTTTATTGAAATTTATCTTTTCTCTACAGCTTTATAATTTAGAAATTATAACTTTTATTAAGTTGAGAAGTTAAGAAGTTCCTAGTTTCTTAGTTAAACTTGGCAAATTAATCTAACTACAAGCACCATGTGTAGGAATCTGACAGACTAAGTATTTTTTGTTTTTTAGTACAATTTTACTAAATCTTTATAGGATTAAAAGAGTAAACGAGTCAATTACAGAAAATCAAAATCCTGAAAATCTACAAACTTTAAAGCTAAAAGGTTCAACTTTGTGATAAGCAAAAAATGTAAGATTGAAGTAATTGGTTTTTTTGTCTGTCTGTGAACGCTCTGTTTCTTTTATTTTTGTAATTATTATTATTGATCCTTAACTAAATTTTGAATGATTGTAAAGCTGTTTAAATAAACTTTTTTTTTTCCTTTCGTAAGTTGTTCGGAAATATTACTATCTAATAATTGTGATTGATAAGCATTATAAAGCCTTAAAATAATTAAAAAAGAACTATTAGCCAATAAATATATAGTAAATGTATAAAAACTTAACAAATAAAATAATAAAAAAAATTAGTAAAGTTTATAATTTATATTAAAAAGTTAGCCATTTAAAAAACTTTATATATAAAAATTGCAAAAATAAAAACTTTAATTATATTCAAGTAAAGAAAGAAACAAAGAGAAGTTCAAAAAATATATGAATAAATAAACAATAAAAAAAAGTTTTAAAATAATAAAAAAAAAGAACTGATGGTCTATAAATATATATAAAAAAGTATAAATATTAAAAGAGTGTAGTTAATTATATTATGCAAAGTATTAAACAATATTTATAAAAGTTTGCCAACTTCAATGGGGGCTTAACTTCATACTTAGTATGAATAAAGGGGAATCTTTTTTTTATGAAGTTTATTTTTAAAAACTTTGCTCAGATTTTCATTGCCTTTCTTAAAAAAAAAATTATTGTAAGTTATATTATCAAGCACAAAAATACTATTAATTTCTGTTGGAAGGTAACTGTAAAATTTCTTTGTCGTCAGTTATTAATGAACAGGCCGACTATGTTTGCCTTTACCGCACATTCTAACTTAAACTCGATTTCGAATTTTTATATATTCTTTTAAGGAACAGGAAATAGAACCCCTTAACTAATAAAGTTACTATAAATTTTATTGTAATTCCTGTTCCAAGTTTAAACGAATTTTTAAAATTTCTGAATACGTAATAATTGGTAAAGCAACAAAACTTAATATATAATAAAAACCCTTTAAGCCAAAAAGTAATAATTATTAAAGATGGCGCTTTCACTTTAGCTTTGCGTTTTGTAAATTTAGAGTTCCTAGAAACTTTTAGAGAGATGAGGTAATGTTGTACTTATTTAAACTTAAAGGCTTTGGGTTTTAAATTTATAAAGAGAAACATATTTAGTACCAGAAAAAAAATAGAAAGGATATAGCCTACAGTAACAATAAATAACTCGTAATGAATAAAAATTAAGTAAAAAATTTATAATAAAATTAGAGAGTAATTCTAGTAATAACAAATTTTACACCAGTTTAACAAATTTTTTAGGGTGGCTATTCCTTCGGTGTAACTTTTGAGAGTGTGTTTCCGGAGAATACCTCACCACAACAAATTCTAATTAAAAAATTAATATAAATATTACCGTAATATAAGTCGACACCCCCAAAAAAAGAGCTACAAACCAACTTTTCTCAAAAATAATTATTATTATTATCATTATCACTTCAATACTATGGGAAACTATAAAGCATTTTATAACCATTTTCTGGACAGAGAAACTTTCGGAAAAAATATGAGGTAGGAGCTCAAAGATAAATAATTTTAATTATTGAACTTCAGCGACGGCTCTCAATACCGGTATGACCACGTATTTTAGTCGATTAGTCTTTTCAAAATAAATTAACAACTTTCTTTACATTTCCATAATTCAGTTCCTATATGTATCATAATATATTAAAAAATATATAATATATAATAAAGCTGAGCTTATGTTGAAAAGCACTCAAGTAATTTATATTTATTGAAGAGCTAATATATTTTACAAAAATATATTATTCTTTTCCTGTACAAGTTAATAATATTGCACGAAGCGTTTTCCATAAGGCACTTAGTATATTGTTTTGATGAGCCTAAAGAGAGCATAGTTTAAATGTTTCCATAACTGTTAACTAGTTGTGAGGAAGTCCTTTTTCTTCGGCGATTCCATCCCCTTCCCACTTTTTTGCGTTTTTGCAAACTAATTTTTCAGAATAAAGATATCCATTATAAGATTTACATCTTTCTGTTAAAGAGCCCACAGCCTGTTTACAAACTTTTTTCCTCCTTTTAAACTTTAAAGCCTCCATAAGTTCATTAACTTTAAGTTTTGTGGTCACGTTTTCAATATCATTATGATCTGAACAGGTGTAAGTTCCTTTACAATTACTTAACCTGTGAATTAAATTGTTCCCCATAATGTTATTAGGAACAATTGAAAATATCGAGTTATTGATAATAATGTTGTTATTGTTGTTATCGTTATCATTATTATTGTTTTTTTTGTGACTATTGTCATTAGTATTGCTGTTATAAACGTTCGTGCCCTTGATTTGTTTGCTTTGAACATTTTCGTAGCTATTTTCATTAATTATTGGAAGTAAATTGTCTTGAACGGCGCTACTTTTACCAATTATAGTAGATAAGCTGTTATTATCCTGATACTTAAAACTATTTTTTAAAGTAAATCGAAAAATCTTTGTTTTACCATTGATATTAACTACAATTTCAATTGGCCTTTGAGTACGTTTAAAATCTTCTACCTGCTCTTTAGAAAATGTTCTATTAACACAATTTACAATTCGGGCATAGTTTCTTAATAAAAAGTAATTTGTTTCTTTCACGTGGCCTTCAAAAGTGTTGTGATTTACAGTGGTAACATTGTCACTCGTGCTTCTCTTATCTGTGTTACTGCTTTCCTCCTCCCTTAAACTTTCGCGGAAGCTGAATGGTCCCTTTCTTTGAAATTGTACTTGGGAAGTTAGCAACCCAGAACATACCTTAAGCCCTAAATTCATATGAGCTTTACTAAAAATTCCTAGAAATAGTAATAGATTAAATACAGTAGAATTAAAACTTTTTAGTTATATACCTAATTCATAAAGTCTCAGTGTATCAGAAAGATTCTGCCCCGAAAATTTGAAATTAAGGTCATCCCCATTAAATTTGCGAGTTAGTCCAAGAACTAGAAGGTCAGTCTTTACATTAATACACGAAGCAATTGCATTCTTGACGTTTAAAATTGTGTCCTATATTAAAATATGTATTAAAAAGATAAATTATAAGAAATAGAAGAGATTTACAGTGCTTTTCGCAAGGACTTTAAATTCCTTTTTATCCGCAAACATAGAAGAGGTTATAAACAATTCAACATTACAAGTTCTGGATGTACAATTCCAGTCACTTGTTAAGTAACTGTCTTTATTACGCTCATAACTAAGCATAGAACGTTTAGCTTCTTTGATATTATTATTAACGGAATGTAAAACCGAACTGTCATCGCCTTCACGTGAAGGTGAGGGTAGCAATGGCAAGCAGGAATTATTTTTAGCATAACTAGTTGCACAAGAACGCGAGTGTCCAACGTTTTTTCTATTCATGTATTGTTCAAACTGTTTAGAAGTAAATCCGAATATTTTCTTTTTGTAAACTTGAACAAAGTGTCTAACTTTCTTACTATGGGGATTGGAGTGAGGATTGCTAGATTCTTTGTTTTTCTCCAGTTTGTCTTCATTGGTACTGTGTACATTTTTACTTTTAAGATATTCACCCATTTGATTATCGAAACTCTGGTGGCATTCACTATTATTTTTCGGTTCCTTATCGCAGTCTTTGGTTTTCCTAAAGTTCTTATGATTTTTATTATATCCAATCGAACTACTAATGTGTTCCCTATCGTTATTGTCATTACTGTGCAAAATATTAATTCTACCATCACCTTCTACCTCAGAATTTTTAATACAGGGAAGGACAAAAGATTTTTGTATACTACTCAATGATTTGTTACGCTGACGAAAGATCCAAGGGATTTGCTCTCTTTCACCCGTTCTTGTAAGTGGAAAGCTCCTACGCACTCGAGTGGCTGGCAAGTTCGTGAAGGGGTTAGGAGAGGTCAACGAGTGAAAAGAACGTGACGTTCTCAGCGAATTCATGTTAAATATTTCGGGCTCGTCCTTTTGTGATAACCTCTTATGTTCTTCTTGTTGGTTAAGACAAAAAACAGTGTCTTCCTCGAAATTTTTTTTGTCAAGCATCTTACTATTGCTAGCGGACTGGAACTGTTTCACACAGTTTGCAGCTCTGGGTTTGGTTAAGTCATACATTACAGAAAATTACAGGTTTTACAGCTGCTACAAGGAGATAAAAGATAGGAGTAAATATGATTAACATAAGACAGAGGAGCCCACTAACTTAAAGCTTTGATAATTATACCGTATACCGTATTTATACTCTAAGTTGACACATTTTATTTTGTATTTTTTCAGTTAAAATAATATTTAAAAGGTTTGCCATACGAGGTCAGTTATTTTAACTATCTAAATTAGGCTACATTTAAAAAATGGCATCTACTTAAGCAAACGACGTGATACGCTTCGTTATAATATGCCTAGCTTGGTATTTTAGTTCTCTTCAGCATTTTAATACTACCAACTACAGGACTGAATAAAGAGTATATATATTTGTTAGAACTTTTCTTGCTGTTAAAAAAAATATAATAATGGAAGATAATCGCTTTCGAGAATACTCTCTTTGATTTGATAGTAGTTTAAATATCCTGACTTAATGATAAAATTCGTGTTTACATAAACGGCCAAATGACAAACCAAAAAAATGAAGTTAAAAAAAATAATTGTTTTAGAATTACCGTATAGAAGGACTTATGTACAGTTGTTGCTTTCTTTCGTTATAATAGGATTGTTAGTAAAGTACTTAAGAGATTTATTTTTTAAATATGCACAAATTTAGTTAATTCTACTAGTTATATTAGTTTTCTAGCGAATTCTTATTAAATATGATTAGGAAATGCATATTTTTAATGAATATATGGAGCTTAATCTCTACTGTACAGAGAGGCCTAACAAACTCTGTAGTAAGTAAAGCTTTTACTCAGTTGGCCTGTTAAAATGGGTTGCGGATTTTATTTTAAAGCCGATTTGTTTATATTTAGTTTGGTAATAAACAAACTAATTTAAACAATTGCATAAAACTAACATAATTGGACCGTTTATATTTACTGCTGATTTTGCAATTTAATAGTGTAAATGTAAAAAACTCTACTCGGCGTTAAAGCGAATTTTTAATTTTAATTATTCAAAGTTTTTTTCCAAAAAATTTTGGGTTAACACTTTGCTTTAATTTTTATATATTTTAGTCAAATTATAGTAAAAGTTAAGTAAGCATTTTGTATGTGATGTTGAAAAACTTTAACCTTGTTTAATAATTTCCAAGAGTTACCTATAGCTTACTAGCTTTAAAATATCAAGATAAACAGTTTTTACTTAACTCTACCTCCCTACAAGTTTAAAGATTTTTTAAGGTTACGTTAAGGCGTATTTATTAAAAAAATATTAGCAGTTTTACTGTATTTTATAAATTTAATTAAAAGTCAGCTTAAGTAAACTTTTTAGTTGCTGAACACATTAAGTCGTGTAGTTATTAGCTTGAAGGACTGAAATGATGAAAGCCCTTATTTAAATGCTTTCCAATTGGCCAAAGGACTTAGATATTTTTTTATCCAAAGGTTTGTATAAAGTATAAATAACACTTAGCTATGATTTATCCCTTTTTGTTATTTCATTGGTTTTTATATTATAGTTATTCCTTCTCTTGCTAATTTATTTTTTATCTCATTGCGTCAGTGCTTTTTTTTTCCTTTTGATTAACTCTTGTTACCATTTTTTGTCTTAGGCGTCAATTAGTATAATGTATAAGTTCATTTATTTCTTTTTTAATTATCTTACCAAATAAATAATTAGAGCTGTTCTTCATCTATATATGTGTGTAACAAGCCCATAAATCTGTATTTGTTTAATTATATAGCTATGCACGCTTGTTATAATCGCTATAAAACTTACTATTTGATTATTATAATAATAAGCTTTTTATCTACTTTATGATAGGTTAAATTTAATATTTAAAAAAACAGTTTTCATTCAATAAACGCATTATGTTTTTAAAAAAGTTCATTCGTCAAGCTATTCCGTATTATTTCTAGACGACTCCAGGCCTTTTACATTTGGTTAAAGAATTATTTATTAAAGCTATTGAACTTTTTAAATTTAAACATGCTTTTTTGTTCCTTTTAAACTTAAAATAAAGAAAAATTAAAAAGTATGACGTATATTGCCTTGTATGATATAATATTATATTTGTCTTAATAATACTTCTTAGCTTAAGCTTTCACTAGGCCTCCAAAAAATAATTTAAAAAGTGAACAATAATTTTTTCAATATCTTTTTTTGTGTGAGTTAATTACGAGTAATTCTTCTCCATTTACTGTTTTTCTAAGCATACCACTTCTAGCTGTTCATGTTTATCCTGTAGTTTTATAACACTAAATCATATGCAAACCTTGTAGGAACTTTTATATATTATGTGAAAACGAGCGTTTCTGAATTAAGAAGCTCTATATAATTAGCATTAAAGTATTTAAGCGAAGGTAAAAGATGGATGATATTAAGATTACTCTTTCCTTTGACTCATAGACACCTTTTACTAGAGGATTACTAAAATTTTATATTAGTGAATTTGCATAAAGAACGGCATTAAGCATGAAATCTTTAGTGACTATCTTAAGCAGTATTAAAGAGTTGCCTAAAAGATTTCTAATTCTATTTAAGCATGATAATAAAAAGCAATTTTTTTTGATAAAATCCAAACGCAATAACTTAACTTAGGTTGCTCAGTAGACTAGAACTTATTGCAAACCGTCGTATCTAGTGAAGATAGAACATCCATAATAAATCAGTATATACGCCTCAGAAAGTTTTAAAACTTAATATTAGTGAACAGCATCTGCGTCTATCAAGGGATATATTACAATAAGTTAAATTACCACGTTCCATTTCGCTTTCTTAAAAAAACATTATTGGCATTGCTAAAGCTTCCTTAACAGAATAAAAATTAATATAATTAACTGCCTTAATTAAATACCCCTCATTCTATGACAAGGCATATAATTTGCGAACTTAACTTTAATGAAATAACACATAATCATGATCTACCGTTAAACTAACGCTTGCTTAGTAATGTTTAGACTATATAAAATCTAGTTTTTAATTGTACAATAGTACAATAGGAAATATCGGCATAAACTTTGCAAAAACAATTCGTCGGAAGAAAGGTTGTGGCCTACTTTAAGAAGAGGGTCCATTTATCTCTAAAAATTTTTGAAAAGTGCGCTCCCTATCCCCATCCCCTCAACTTAGAATTTAGGGATATATTATGCTCTTTGGCTTCAACAATGATAAAAGAAGCTAACTTAATACACTTTTTTACATGGCTAATTATTTATTTATAGTTTGCATATTTATATATGGAAAATATATTATCTTTTTGAAACCGTTCACGTTATTTGGATTAAGTACTTACGAATATTGGAAGGTCGTATTGGCTTTTATTTATTACGCACCAGTCCAAGTTTCATTATTTAAAGCCCTCTAAAGCCCATGACAACAGGCGCATCCTTGTGATTTATTTTCCTTTTAATAGGCTACTGCCCTGCACCCAAAGGAAAGTCCACTTTCTCCCAATTTTTTGTTTTAAGTTTAACAAGAGCTCATAAGTACAACTATTTTTTTTAAAAAAAAAGCCTTTGACAAGCTGTTCGTCTAGGTTTGTTATGCTAACATGCTTTGCAAGCTGCGCGCTTTACCTGTTTGCTTGTATTTACGATATGCTTTGTGTTACGTAAAACTCACACCTTTAGGCATGCTTGTGTGCCCTGCAAATACACTGTTATACACCCTCTTAGCTAATCTTTATCAAGAATTACTTTTCTCTTGTGGAGCCTCCAGGCTAAATAAATAAAGATCCTCTTCAACAAATAATGTTTTTACAGCCTCCATATTTAATTAATTTATTCATGCACGTTCTACGAATTGCCTATCGTTAGTGTCTTTGGTTTAAAGCGATAAACATCTAATTAAAGGCCTCTCAAACTTTAAGTAGTTAAACAATGTCCATCGAGGCACTGTCAGCGTCTTTACCACGCCGGATAGCAAGAGCGACGCATCGCTTATGAGGATATAAAAAGTTGTGTTCATGTGGTTTTAATAGCCATGAAAATTTACGAAATCTTAATAAATAAAAAATTCATTTTAAAATATAACCTTTTAAATACTTTTTGACCAAGTTATGCGCCTATTTCTGTGAGAAAGTCCGCAGATAAATAATAATTTCTTTAAAAAAAAGGGTTAAGGGAACAGTGCTTGGTCTTGTTCTTTTCAGTATTATATGTTTTAAATATTCATTTTTATATATATATAAATCTAAAAAAGTAGCACACTTAGAATTGTATCTTAACCATTTATACTATCAGATACGTAAAGTGCACAGTAACAGAATTTAAAGGTTTATAAAGACGGACGCCATTATATTATAAATAGGAAGATTTGTAAGATAATTTTTTTTTACTTGAGAATGCTCTTAAACAAGTAAAACTGCTGAGTATTAAAAAAACCAGACTTAATGACTAAAAATGTCTTAAACTTAAAGATCATTTTTAGAACTTTATGGAATATTTAATTCTTAAAAATTTAACAGCCTGAGCAACGTAGAGAACTTTTAGCTCCAGTATAATAAATCTCGTATTTAAGCTCAGTTGATGCTGGTTTCCATTCCGAAATTTTTTTAAACAATTAAAATTAATTTTTAAAAGTTAAGGGTAATATGACATATAATGGAAACTAATTTATGCCAAAAAAGTGTTTCGTTAAAGCTATTCTTTAGTAGAAGAACAAAGCATTTTTCAATATCTAGGCAACTAGTCTTGCACCCTCGTATAAAAACCTAAAACAAAATTACTAATACTGTAGTGTTTCGACCTCTGCAAAAGTATCCGCAACTTTCAATGTTGTATTTATTATAACTGTCTAGCCTGTATTTAAAAATGTAGCAACCTCCCCACCCCCCCACTTTGCGTTTACAGTCAGTTAAAATGTTTATTTATTATATTATAGCACAGGTCTACTACAGAAAGTGATTTACAATCCAATGCTGTTTGATCTACTTTCCCTATTTTACGAGGGTGCGAATTCGACTCCCTCATAAAGTGATAACGCAATCAACTTACAAGGATTCGTTTTATTATCACAGATAAACAGAGTATATTAAAAGAAAGACGCAATAGCAAATTAATAACAACAACACCACATACTATAAAAGAATAATTATGTTACAGTCAAGCTCGATATAGTAGGCTCTACATAAAAATATCAATAATCCAATTTAGGAAAATTTTAAAAGTAAAAATTGTTTTGATTGGTAGAAGGAGCATGCAGTAAAACTTGTTTAGGATAACTAATATATTACAGGGTTCTTTTTATTGCAAATGATTTATCTCTCACTTAGCAATTTGTAAAATAACTTTTGGTAGTTGTATGTTAAACAAAATAAATTAATCCAAATAAAATTTTTATGAACCTTCTTTTGTATTTTAAAGTCCTAAACTAAGTAAGTTGAGTGATATATATTTGATAGTTTTCAGAAGTTCACGTATTCGTGTTGACCTTGCTAAATCCTATTCCTTATATATTGAAGCTCACTATCTTTTCCCCTTGTAAAGAAGCAATGAAAGCCGTTGAAAAGTTGGATAGACTTTTGGATCCACGACTTAAAGTGTTACAGGATAGAAAAACTAAAAGAGATCCATGGGTTGTTGGAAATTTGTCTAACTTTGAAGAAAAACGTTCCACAAAAGTGTAATTTTTGCTTATTTTATATATTATTAATTTTTGTTTTACTGAAATAATTTCCATATAGACGAAGTAACTCTGAATCGGATGAATACTGGTCTAAATTGAGTTCTAAAAGTAATAGTAATAAAAGTAAACTGTGCTTGTTTTCTATTTTATATCATAAATATATCTGTTTTTATATTTTTATTATGATTATATTTAACTAATAAAAAAGATGAAGACAATATTAAACAAAATATTACTACTCCATCTTCAAAATTTCCTTCAGGAAGTAAAACTCCCCTTTCTGTAAATTTTTTTTGTTATACAGGAAATTCAAATTTTTTAAATTTCCTTTAATTTTCTTTTAAATTTTTTTCATAGTATTAAAGTTTAGGTTAAATCCTTTTATTTATGATTTACCTTATTTTTGCTTAAATAATTCATAATAAAGATTTATAATTTTTTCAAGGGGTACAATCTTTACTATTAGTGAAAGTAATTTGGAGATTAATACTTAAATAACAAATTTTATATCACTTTTTTAGCGCAAGTCTTATTTTTAAGTTATATGTTTATAGAAATTTCACTATATTTACCATTAATTATTTTATTAATTGTCAACTGTATAATATTAATATCAATTATATTTATATTACAATTATTTCGTTTTACTTAATCTAAGCCCTTTTGGTAATATTATTAATAAATATATATTTTTTTAATTTTCATAACTCTTTTTTAAATACAGAAAGAAAATGATAGAAACGCTTCTTTTTACAAAGAAGACGATTTATATGAATCTAAAGCTAGCAAGTTAAGTTTGTAAAATTTTTTTAAAAAAATTAATTTTTGCTTTTTTTTTTTAAGAATAAAGAAACTTAAAAAAGAGAGAAAGTTATCTCAACTAAGTTCTTCCGATCAGTTAGAATTGGTTTATAATTTTTTATAAGTATATAAACTTAACGTAAAGTATTAAATTAAATTTAAATAAATTTAATCTATTTTTATACAACGTTCATCAGTTTTGTAATATTTTATAAAATTTAATAAAGTTTACAGCGTTTTATTAGTTTATTTTACCATATAAATCCTTAATTTTTTATTAATTTTTTAATAATACTAAAATTATTGTTTAAAAAGAAAAAAGTTAAAAAAAATATTGTTTTTTTATAAAAATATTTTATTTTTTAAAAAAATTAAATTTTCTTTAATTGTATACAGAACTACGTAATATAACTTTTTAATAAAATTTAAACTTTAATTATTTTGCATATAGATTAATTTATAATTCTGGTGAAAGAAATTATTTTTAGATTTAAAGGTTCATTTTTACAGTATAGAAATTACAATGCAAGCAAAGCTACCTTTTGGTTACATCAAAAAAATGTTTTTTAGATTTTAATTGAAACTATGAAAATATAGTTTTGTTTAATATTATTATTTTTTCAATAATTTAATAACTATTATTTATAAATTTCCATCTATTATTTAATTATTATATTAGATTTTTATATTTTATATTATAAAACTTTTTTTATTTAAAGTTTAATTTACTATTCGCTTTATGTTCTCAACCTTGTGGTTTTTTTCCTATTTATTTAAAAAAATATTAAAAAACTTAATTGAATTTATGAATAAATGTTTTGTTGCTAAACAAATTTTATTATTAGTTTTTAAAAGAAATAAAAAAATTTCAGTTGTTTTTTTATATTAAGAAAAAAATTACTTTAAAAAAAAAATAAATTTTGTGTATTTAATTTTTTTTTAAAAAATATACATTTTTTATAATCGTATATTAAAAAAAAATATTTTGTGCGCTGAAGTTTATGAAATATCTTTTACTATTTAAATTTATATTCATATTTTATTTTTAACTAAATTTATTTTTATTTTATATTTTATTAATTTTTATTGATTATTTTTTTTGAAGTTTTACAATATAATTTTTAAATTAAAATATTTTTCGCAATGAAAGTTTGTTAAAAGTACATTCAGTTTTCTTTTTATTTTTTTAAATAATCATAAATTATATTAAATAAATTTCATGAGAAAATTATTAACAAAAAAAATTATTGCTTTCTTAATTTTTTAAAAGTAACTTTTTTAAAATTTTTTTATAAAAAACTTAATTTTATTATTGTTATTACTATATATGAATTCTAATAAAATTACTATTATTATAAAATTATAATATGTTGACAATTTTTAAAAAGTAGTTTTTATTTTATATTTTTTCTTGTAAAATTTATATATATATACAAATTTACTTGAAAAGTTTATTATTTTAATTATTTTCACTTTATTTTCTTTACAATACATTTATATAATTCGTTAAAAACTTTTTTTTAATTGTGAAGAGGTTTTTTTTTCTACTAAATAAAAACGTAAGCGTTATTATAATTTTTTCTTAATTTTTTTTCAATTTATGAAAATTTTTAATATTTTATAGAATCCTATTTTTATTTTATTTTTATTAATTAAGTTTAATTTTTCTATAAACAAATTTTGATAATAAAGTTTATTGTGTTTTATTAAAATTTAATATGAAATTTATAATGTTATATGTTTTTTAATATCAATTATAATTTTTTTTGAGAATTTTTTAAAATTTTTTTATTAAATTCTTAATATCTTTTAATTTTACTAAAAAAATTATTTTACTTGATTTATTCTTATTATTAACTTTTTCAATGTATTGAATAATTAATTAATTATTTTTTTTTAATTACCTTAAAATAATTTTTTATTAAACATGAAGTTATTTGATTTATCATTATTACTACTATTTAAAATTTTTAACATTTTTTTTAAATTAATAAATGATATCTTTTTAATAAAAGTTTGTTATACTACTAAATTATGATGTACAGTTATTTTTTATTTTTTTTTATATAATGTATTCTGAATCTGTTTTTGTTTTTTTTGTTGTTATTAAAGTTTTATATATTTTCTTAATTATGAATAACTTTTTCTAAGTTAAAAAAAATTATAACAACTCTTTTGTTCGGAAATATGATAATTTTTTTAAAATATAGAAAAAAATTATTTATTTATTTATTATTATTAAAGCATTTCATTATATTTATACAGAACAGTTTACTATTTTAAATTTATATTTCATTTATTTATTAGCTACATGAAAGAATAACAATCTTTATGTTTTTATATTTTTTATAAGTAAAAAGTTTTAATTATACTTTATATAATGTTTAACATTTTTATTAACAAAAAATGAATAATTTATAATGAACTTGTATTAGAATTATATATTATTATGCGCTTTCTAAATATAAAGTAAAAGTTTCTTGTTTTATTAATTATTTAAAATTTATATTAATATATGATTTTATGGTTAATGTTATTATTTATATCTGCAGAACTTTTTAAATCTTTACTAAAATTTATTTGCCTAAACTTTTTTTTTATTTATTAATTTATAAAAATAAAATATTCCTAATAAAAATATATAAATTTTTTTTACTACAGTTATGACATTAAATTTATACTTAAAATTGTTGTAGAGTTTTTGAATGAATTTTTTATTGTATATAATAAGTAATAAACTTTTCAGTTTCTTTAATTTCTATTACTTTTCTACGCAATTATATAAATAAATTTATAGTATAAAGTTTATAAAGTCAACTAAATTTTTTATAAACTTTCATTTTTATAAAAATTATTTTTAAATAAATATTTTTTAAATGTAATTTTCTTTTCTAATTCAGGTTTTATTTAAAAAAGTTTATTTGTAGTAAATTTTTTTAACGTAATATTTACTTGAAATTTACTTCTTTTTTAATATTTATATAAATTTAGAAAAGTTGAACTTAAATTTATTGCTTTACTTATCCATTTTTATAAATTTATATCCTTGAAATATTAATTTTTATTAATTTAAAAATTTAATTTTGTTAAAGTTTTTTTTTAATATTTAAAGTTAATTCTTATAGAAAAAGCAAAAATGGAAAATATATTACATATAAAAAATAAATTGATATTATAGGAAATTATAAAAAGTAAATTTCTCATTATTTACTATATTCAAAATTAAACATATAATTTTAATTATATTCTACTTATACTTTGAAATTATAAAAAATAATTTAAACGAATATTTTATAATTATTATTATTCTAATTAACTTTTTAAAAAAAATTGAAAGAGAAGATTAATATTAATACTCTTACGGAGAAAATATTGATAAAAAATAAAACTTATAATAAAAGTAATTATATCTGGATACAGTTTACTAAATTAGTTATAGAAGTTTGCTTTTTTTATTGTAATAATATAAAAAATTAAATTTTAGAAATAAAAAAAAAAGTTATAATTAAATAATAATAATAATAATATTACAAATATTTCTGGTAACAAATAAATAATATTATTAATATAAAAAAATATTTACACTGAAAAATAAAAGTAATAATTAATAATAACAATAAAAAAATAATTCAGTCAATTCTTTTACAATTATTATGAATTTAATAGAAACTATAAAGAAAATTAATAATAAAACAAAATTAAAAATATTAATAAATAATAAAATCAAACAGAATAAATTATAAATAATATATAAAAAGAAGTTTAAAGTTTAATTTTTTTTATAAATATAATAATAAAGAAAAGTTTATAAAAATTAATTAATATTTTTACTAAAATTTTTTTTTTCTATGGATATATAGAAAAATGCTAAACAATAATAAGTAAATAAAAAAATAAAAGTTCAACGAAACATTATTAGTATTTTTATTTTATTATATTTCTTTTATAATTATTGTTGTTGTCATTATAATTGTTAAAGTTTTTATTATTATAATTATACTTATTATTATTACTTTATAAAAGAAGCGAGTTCGAAATAGTAATTAAAAAAAAAAAGACAAAAGTTTTATTATAATAAATAATAATCGTTGCTAACAATTTTTATATAAAAGTTTATATTGTCATAATTTTTCTTATTATGAAGATTATTATTAAAGTTTCTTATAAATAACGAGTTCGATATAATATAAAATTAAAAGAATAAAAGTAATACTGAATAATTTATTAATAATGAATATTATAATTATTGCAATTATTATTTTTATGAAAGTTTTTATATTACTATTATAGCTTTCTAAAGAAAGTGAGCTGGAGTCTGTTGCTGCTAAGCTAAAGGAAGATTCGTTGAAGTATCGAATGGTAAATAAAAAATATTTACAACTTTTTTGTATATTTTTATAGAAAACATTCACCTCTTTTGCTTATAAGTAATAATAGTAAGCATGTTTTAAATATTGAATAACAGCTTATAATAAGTAAATATATATTTTATAGGGACTTATAAATAATTTTTTTCTTTTTATTTTATTAAAAAATTATTTTAAAGTTTATATGGAAATTATTATTTATTTCTTGTGATAAATAATAATAAGAAATATTTATTAAAATAAAAAATATATATTTATAGGGACTTATGAATTATAGAATTTTTTTTTTTTGTTTTTTTCTATTATTACATTTTTTTAAGTTTGTATAGAAAAATTGTTTATTTTATATAAATTTTATATAATATATAAAAATATTATACTTGAATATTATAAAAAATAATAAAAAGTTGAAAATTTTTTTGACTTATAAACTTCCATCTAGTAATTACTTTTTACGATATAATAATTTTTTTTTAAATATTTAAAACGTGGATAGTAATGAACTCTTTACTTGCTATAGAAAAGTCTTCTACTTAGATGAAGCATCTTCTTTATTATATTTATATTATTTATAACAACTTTTTAAAGAAAATTTTTTTATATTTATATTAAGCAATTTATTATTATTAATTATAGAAAAACTTTTATATTATTTTAAGCTTTTCGTATTATTATTACTTATGTAATAACTTTTTCTAAAAAAAAATTATATATATTTCTTTAGCTTTTATTATTATTATTACTTCTATAATAACACTAAAAAAAACCTTTATTTCTATGTAAAGCTTATATTATAATTATTTATTACTTCTATAATAATCTTTTATTAGAAAGTTTTATATTTTATGTTGATTATTACTTCTATAATAATTTTTTAAGCTTTTTTTTATGAATATTATTATCTATATAATAACTTTTTTATGAGTCTAATATTTATATATAAAACTTTTTTTTCTTTACTATTATTATTATATATATATTAATATTTTTTTAGAGAACATTTATATTAAATTATATGCTTTTCTTATTATTGTCACTTAATAATTTTTTGTAGAAAACTTTATTATTTTTAAAAACATGTATAATAACTTCTAATAGAAAAACCTTACTGATACAACTTTTTTAATTTTTATTATTATTATTATTTATTTCTGGCTTTATTTATTTATAAAAAAGGTTTAACTTTTTTTAGAAAACTTTTTTAATATTTTATGAATGGATGTACTTAAAAATAATTGTACTTTTTAATGCAAATTTTAAAGTTTTATTAGTTTGTACTATAAATATATATATAGTTTTATTATTTTACTTATATTTTTATTAATATATATATTTTATTATATGTTTCTGAGTTAATTCATTTTTAATTATTGTTTTATATAATTATTTATATTATAGTAAATGTTATATTAATATAATCTTTCAATATATTATTTTTATTATTATATGAAATAAAAACTTTTTTTATATATTAAAAGCTTCAATATGGATTTCGAAAACATCATAAACTTTGCAGTTCTGGAGATTCTGCTCTACTCGTATGCTATTGCATTCGACTTTTGCAAAGCAAACAAGTTTGTTGGGAAGATATCGAAGAGCGCTTTTCCTTGAAAAGTCCCGAACTTTCCAGTACTATTATTTAGTAGATAATTCATGTTTATTATTTCACGTTTCGTTTAATTTTTATACAATAATACTATTTATAGAAACTCGGTAATAAATAAATATCTAAACAAATAAATTAATATTACAATTTTTTTTTAAAAAAAAGTAAAAGAAAAATAAGTAAAGTATATTAATTAGAAAATTTATAGTAGCAGATGAAGATTAATGAAAACGTAAAAAAAAATTAATTATGAAATTTATACAGATAAAATAATAATTAAATTAAAATGAAACTTTAAAAAAAAAATTATTTAATAAAAAATATACAAATAATAAATATTACATTTTATTAAAAAGAAATAATATTAGTGAAGAAAAATATATGAAATAATAAATAATAAGTAATTTAATAAAAAGTTATACAAAAAAATTTTACATGTTATAGAAGTAATAATAATAATGAAGAAAAATATAGAAATTAATTAAAATTTATAAGTTATATTAAATTAAAGTTTATACCAATAAAAATAAATAATAAGTTATAATAATAAATCCATGAGAACAAATTAATTTTATAATATATAGTAAAAATATTAAGAAATGCTATTTGATATAAGAAAAAAATAATATATAAATAAAAAAATAAATAAGTAGAATTATACGACATTTCTAATAATAATATATGAAAATAATAATAAATAACAATATAATTATAAAAATATAATTATGTTCTTTAGATATAAAAATAGTAATAATTAGTAATAAATCAAAATAATAATGAGTAATAATAAGTAAATGAATATTTATAAACATAATTAATAAAAAAAGTTAATAAATATATTCGTTAATAATAATAATAATTCTATGAAAATCTATAAATATAACAATTATTTATATATATAAATATCAAAAATAATAAAATAAAATTTTATCAAAATTAAAAATATATATTAAAAATTTAAATACATGAAAATTTATAAATATAACAATTAGTTGTATAAATAAATAAATTATGTTAAAATAAAAATATAGTATTAAATAGAAGTACAGAAAAATTAATAAATAATTATAAGTAAAATATTATAACAAATACTAACAATTAATTATTATATATATATATAAAAATTAAATAATAATAATATAGTTATGAGAAAATAATTTATAAAATAATTTTAAATAACAATAAATTTTGAATAGTAATAAAAAATTAAATAAAGTTATATAAAAATAAAATAAATCTATATAATAAAACTACAACAATAGTAATACTAAATAATAATATACTAAATTAAAAATAATAAAAAAGCTATAAGAAAATTAAAATATATTTATATTAAACAAAAGTAAATTTAATGTAATATATAAAAATATATAATATTAAAAATAGATAATATTATATTAAATAAAAATAAAAATAAAATAATGTATAGAATTATTTAAAATTAAGAGCAAATGATAAAGTTATAAGAATTTAAATAATAAATAGTACTGGAAATAAAAAATGTGATTATATTATACAAAATTAATAAAATAATGAATAATAATAAAACATAAAAATAAATATAAAAGTTAAGTTAAAAGCAAATCAGAAAAATATAATTATTATATATGAAAGAAAAAATTAAAGAGATAATAGTTATACCAAAATATACATAACAAACCATGTGATTCTTATTCATTATATATTTTTTTAACTCACAACTTTCTACATTTTTATTATTTACTTATTTTTTTTTATTTTTATTTTTTTTTGTTGTTGCATTATTTCTTTTGCTATATTATTTTTTTAAAAAGCTGCAAAAGTTTATAGTAATATTTTTATAATTATTTGTTTTATATATATAACATTGCCATCACTAGACACGCGCTTGAATGTGCTCGCTGGCAATTAGTAATTGGCTAGTTTTCCTTAAGTGGTGCATGTGGTAACAGAATTGCGCTATGCAGCAGTTTTTCAAACAAAAGCAATCGGTGCGCGTTTTTTGTCTTAAAATTGTTGGGTTACTGCCTAGTCCTTATTATTTTATGAATGATGAGCATTTTAAGTTTTAAAAATAAAATAATATTCATTATAATGAATGAAGCTTCTGAAGAATTTGTGTAAATATTTTTGGTAATTAATAAAATAAACAAACGTAATGAAATATATATTAAAAAATTCATTATTTTTTTCGACGCAATTTACTTATAAACTTTTACTTTCTATTATCTGTTTTACAAACTTTTAACATGTAATAAACCGATAACTTCAGCCGAAAGGACCTCGCTTTTGCATTATTTGTATGAAAAAGCCGAGTCTATTACACCGCTTAAAGAAAATTTACTGCTGGAAGCTCAAGTCACGTGTCCGGATATTCCCAAATATTTTTCTCCAATAGAAAAGATCCGCGCTTACATCTCTACATTTACGGATGAAAAAAAATACTTTGGCATTACAGAAATGGCAGCGGGGGCCTACCGCGATCAGTAGGATTATTATTATTATTATTATTATTATTATTATTATTATTATTATTATTATTATTATTATTATTATTATTATTATTATTATTATTATTATTATTATTATTATTATTATTATTATTATTATTATTATTATTATTATTATTATTATTGTTATTGTTATTAATATTAATATTATTGTTATTATTATTATTGTTATTGTTATTATTGTTATTATTATTATTGTTATTGTTCTTGTTATTAATATTATTATTATTGTTATTATTATTATTATTATAAAATAGATATGTTTTGGTTATAGTAAGGGAAGACCGCTCCACCCTAGAAGTTGTTGGGATTGTTGCTCCTTTAAATACTAACACGTATTATTTTTATTATTATTATTTATTTTTTGATTCTATTTTTTTATATTTACTATTTTATTACTATTTTTTTAACAGTTTATTATTATTTTATAAACTTTAATATAAATATTACTATTATATATTTATTTAGAAAAATTATTTATTATGTTTATTACTAATTATTTGAAGGTATAATTTTTTTAAACTTCCTTTTTGTAATTATAAAAGTTTTTTTTTTTAGAAAAGTTTATCCCTTATTACTTTTGACTGTATATTTTATATGATTACATTTAATATACTATAAAACGTATATATTTTTATTTATAAAAATTATTTAAAATAATTTAATATTATTACTATTAAATTTTTTTATTATACTATTAAAAATAATAATATGTATATTTTTATATTTATATAAAAAGTTTTTTTAGAAAAAACTTGTTTTATACTATTAATCATATATTTTTAATGGTTTTCTAAACTTTACTTAAAATATTTATATTAAAAAAGCTTGTCCTTATTATTAATATAATTACTATTATTATTATTATTATTACTATGATTTAAATATACTCTCACGTCTTATAGAGTTTATTATTGTTTATTCCACGAAAGCGGTTATTTTGACTTACTTGAACCAGAATCGGCTACAAATAACTCTTCAATTTTCCAAAATGCTCCAAAAATTATTAAAAATGGTGTTTATTAATTTTTATTATTTTTTTTAGAAAAGAATTATTTATAGAAGTTAATAAAAGTAAAAGTTTTTCTAAATTTTATTGTTTTTTAGAAAAACCGAAATCGTAGTTATATAGAATAAAAAATATTTATATAAAAAAAATAAATTATATATTAAAATATTTTTATTATAAAAAAGTTATATAACAAGAAAAAATTATTTTAATAATGATATTTTAAAAATTTTTTTATTCCTTTATAATAAAATTTAAAAGTAAACTATAATTTTTTATATAATTCTATTTAGATTATTAAATAGCGAAATAAATAATTTTTTTATACAAATTATAAAAGATAATAAAAGTACGAAAAATATATATTCTTTTATTTTTTGTGTTGTAAAATTATTTTAATAAAATTAAATAATATGAAATATTATTAAAGTATTAAAAAATAAATATATTTATTATAAAAAATTCAGTAATTAATGTTTATAATTAAAAGAAATAATAATTAACTTAATAAATTTATTACAAATATAAAAAAATAAATATTGATTTTACACAAACATCCATTAATAATAGTTTATTGAAGTAATAAATGATATCAAATGAAGTTACATATAAAATAAAATAATATTATTAAAACTACAAAAAAATTATAATATTTTATAATAATTATTTATAAAAAAAAAGTTTAAGATAAAATATAATAAGAAATAAATGATATATATCTTAAAAATATTTTTTAATAAAATATAAATATAAACAGGATAAAAAGAAAATTTATCATTAATAAAAAATATGTACAATGATAAAAATAAGTATTTTTTAAATAAAATATTATTAAAGTTATAAAAAATAAATATAAAAATAATAAATAAATATAAATGGTTTATACTAAATGAATTTTATTAAGGGAAATAAATATGATATAATTAAAAGAAATAAATTTATATATCTTTAAACTTATAAATATAATAAAAATATTTTTTTAAATAATATAATTTTAAAGTTAGAGAAATATATATTAACGCAACTAGCCAAAAAGTACTAATAAAAATATATTAAATAATAACTTTATTATATCTTTTATATTTTTTTTTTCCTTTTATACTTTTGCAAACAGTTTTTACAATAAAATATTTACTTATAAAAATCCTTTTTACCAAAAAATTAAAAAAAAATACTATTATTTACCATAAATTTTATCGAAAGGAAAAGTTTTATTATGGATATAAGTTAAGCAATAATGTATAATATATTTTAGCTTTCGAAAAAGAATATTTATAAGCTTCTAACTTTAAGAAATAATAAAGAGTTGTTGTACTTGTTTCATTTTTTTTATAAGATTACAAAATAAAACAATAATACTATTTTTTATTACAATATCATTACTTTTCTTGATTATAATTTGATTTTTTTACTGCGAGTTTCAAAAAATCGTTATTTGTTGAAGAAAAATTTAGTAAAGTATAATATTTTTTTTTTTAAAATTACTTTAGATACGGAAAAAATGTTTAAAAAAATTATAAAGTTAAATATGATATTATTTTTTTATTATTGTTTCTTTATTTATTAAAAAAAAGGTTTTTAAAAATATTTAATATTATATAATAACTATCAAGTAAAATATTATATATAATTTTTATTATTATTTCTTTATTTACTAGAGAAAATGTTTTAAAAAATTAATTATATTGTATAAAAATATTATATAGTAAAATATTATATTATTTTATAGTTACTTGGATTAATGTTATCATAAAATTGTTAATTGAGAAAGTTATAAGAAAGTAAAATACGATATATATTATTTTTTTACTATTGTATACTTATTACTTTTATATATTTTTTATAATAGACTTGGAAGAACTATACCAACAGCAAGTAAATCAACAACTTTCTTCTATTTCTAAACAGAAAAGTACAATATTTATAAATGAAAAAGATAAAATGTTTCTTATATATAAAATAATACTTTTATAAGGACATTAACAAAATTATTATAATAAACTTTGAAATTTTTATAATAACAATTATTTTTGGTAGATTTTCGTTGCAGCGGAGCTGACTCGTCCGAATCGAAAGCAAATGAACTGAGGCAGTTGCTTGAATTCGATGTTTGTCATTATATTATTATTATTATTATTATTATTATTATTATTATTATTATTATTATTATTATTATTATTATTATTATTATTATTATTATTATTATATTATAAACTTTATAAACCTTATTTTTTTCTCTACTTAACTGTAAACATTCGCCAAGCAAAATATCAATTATCCCCACGAGGGTTACTCTGCACTTATTAGTAATGAGTACCCAAGAAGTATGTAAACGACTCGTAAAAAAGTATTTACGTAAAAGTAAAAATTTTTTTTTTTATAAATGAGACGAGTTTTTTAAAATTTATCCGATTTTTTGCACGAGCGGCGCTTTATAATTTTTATGAGTGATATTAATCATATTACAACGTGTCTTGTATAAAATTAAAACTTATGTATATCTCAAAATTATATAATATATATATAAAGATAACATAAAAACAATATTACTATTTAATATATAATATTTACTGCATAAGAAATATTCAGAAAATATTATATATTTATAAACTGAGTAAATGTATATCTACGATGCTTCCCTTTTTAAATTTTTTTTATTTTTAATTGTTTTTTAAAAAATTTATTTATTATAATTTATATATTTTTAATAAGAATATTTCCTCAAACGAGCAAGACGCGTCTAAAGATATTTATACTCCAAATAAAAATCAAAAGGTATCCTCAATGCTGCCCACCAACGATTTTGATTCGTTTTATAAAACTTCTTTTATTGGCAATAATAAGACTTCGGTGAGTGAACTTTACTTTGATTGGTTCGCTTCCTATAATTTTTTTTATATTTTTATTTTATTTTTTGTTTATTTTTACTTTCAATTTTGTGAAAACTAAGTATTGAAAAGTCATTATATATAAATATCAAATAAAAGGAATAAATAAATAAGAGTAAAAATTATTTTTGTTATAAAATTTTGTTTATAATTAGTAATAAAATGTATTGAGTCAATATGATATAAAACACTAAATAAATAATCAACATTATTAAAGATTTTGTATAGACTAAAAAAAATTATACAAGGAATATTATTAATAATATTAAATAATTATAAATAATAAATAAAAAAAAAGTTTTTATAAAGTAGTAAATAATATTAAACAATCAAAAAAATTAATCTTATAAAAATTTCCGACATGAATTAAAAAATATATTAATATATACAAGAATTAATAATTAAATAATAAATAAATTAATATATGAATAACTTGTTTATAATTAATAATAAATTAATAACTGCAATAAAATTAATTTAAACGAAATGTAAATTTTTAATATTATAAAAGTTTTCGGTATAAATTAAAAAATAATTAACTTAACTTGAAAGTCTTAATAAATAATTATTAATTATAAATACAAAAAATATAGACAATTATAAGTTATAAATAAAAAATTATTTATAATTATTATTGATAATTTAAAATAAAAAGTATTATAAAATATAATGAGGTATTATAAAACTAAAAATAAATATTTAATATTATAAAAGTTATTAATGAAAGTTGAAAATAAAAGTAATTAATATACATGCACTAAACGCTTATAACTAATATTTATTATAAATAAATAAAATATAAAACGGTAAATAAATAATTATATTAATTTTATATTAATTTTACTTTTAATTGAATTACATTAAGTTATATCTTTTTATTTTTATTTATTTTTATTAGGGAGATCAAGACTTTTTCGAAAAGTCAGGATATAAAGTAAGTCAACCTCCTCAGAAAGACAAGCAACACTCCTCTACAAACCCTTTCCTTTGAAACCTTTTCAATAAAAAAAAATTTAAAAAGTTTTTATTATTTAAAAACGAGTTAATTAAAAACTGATACTGATAAAAAAAAATGAGCAGGTTGTAATTCAGATTAGAACGCTACTTTTAGTATTCTGTTCATTTCATATTCGCATTGTCAATCACAGCAGTGAAGTCTTTTCATTGCAATAATTTTTGCTTTCCTGAATTAAAATTTACTTGAGTTGTTTAACTAGAAATTCAAATTTATGTATAGTGTTAACTATAAAACTAACAAAAAAACTATATATTTTAGCTTGTATAGATATCTTGGAGAACACACCACGAATAGATGTTTACTATAAATCTAAAATAAAACTGAACTTCATAACAATTACAAAGAATAGCATGTAGGACTGCCTCCCCCTACCCATACCTGCACGGTTTATATAAAAGTATTTTCAGAACTATTTAAGACGTGCTTTATTAATTCTATTAAGTAAAATGTACTTGCATACGCTTGCTAAAGTCGGACGCCCGGGGAACTCATGAGCTTTCAGTATAGAATTTATCTTTACTAACAAACTATTAAAATAGTAACTCTTTAAAGTTCTTATGTTTAATTTTATAAGAAACAGTTTTTGTGGATTTACAGGAAGTAAAAACTAGAATCTTATTGTTCAGAGGCTTTTTGTTTTTACAGGTTATATTAGATAATTTCCACTGACCTTGAAGATAGTCGTGGTCCCTTATATATTTTTATAACCTTTTTTTTACGAACTATTAGTAACACTTCTTTTATCGTTAAATACATATTTATAAAAAGTTGAAGGCTCTGAAATTATATTATAAGTGTGTCCATTAGTATTGCTAACTAGGTATTGCTGGCATGCCAACTCTTTTATTCAATACTCATAATTCGACTCTCCTTAAAAAATATTGTTATGGGTATAGTAATTCTCTGATTAGGGCACACAGCCCAAACTTTTAATTTTCCACCATTCTTGACTGTGAAATTCCTTTTAAAGAGCCCTTGGCAACTCCGATAACTACAGTGTCTCCGCACTTATTATGCTTCGTGTCCCTCGATGCCCGACCTGGACCTTCTCTGTGTTTGACATTTACCCACTGTTACCTGTGAATAAAAATTTTACGTCAGTGGGTATAACAGCTATAAAAAATTGTACTACAAACCCGCCTCCTCTCCTAAAAAATAGTTGCAAACATCTTGCCTTTCATGGTAGCTTAAAGCGTATTAAATGACTTTATTTTGCTTAACTTCAAGAGGTTCCTTAAGCGCGAGTTCTCCTTGTCTTGTCTTACATCGCGGTCTTGCTCCCATTTTTTGGATATAACTTCTTTTAGTAATATTAGTATAAAGCGGTTTGGTCACTTATTTACATTGACATATACTTTTCCAATGGTGCTTAAGTGATAACTCCTTGTTTTTAATACTCATTTTGTTACAATAGGGTTAGGATTAGAATTAGGTTAGGTATTTTCTTGCAGCCATGCAAGTATTAAGTTGTAGAACCCTGGTTATAAAAAAACTAGATTATGTTTTTGGCAAATTTTCTAACTGTTCGAAAACTACTTAAAAGTTTAAAAAACGAGATTTAACTCTAAGTTTATCAACAAGATCTAAACTATAAGCTAAATCATAGTAGTTAATTTCATGATTAGCTTTTCACTTTTAATTATGAACAGTATGCTTTTAAATAAAATACAAGAATTCAAAGCTTACAGTACAAGCAGAAACGCAAGAACTTTTTTGGTGAAGCCATAAAGTCAAGCAATAATTATTGTAATGACAATCAAGGAAGGAACAACAGTATGTTCCGATAACGATTAAAAAAGTGGCTACAGGTTCCATTTAAAAGTCTTTACTTAATTTACTAAGGGGCGTTAATGAAATGTTCACAAATGTTTCGTTTTTAAATATTGTAACACTAAGTTTACTTGTAAGAATATAAATTCTGGCGGTTAACGTCAAAGCCGATTAACTAACTGTACCCATTTACTTTTGAGGTAGTACAACACATGCCACAACCATGGTATGTGGTTTAACAGGTTGCGCTTATATCTGTGTCCCAGCTGTTTTTTTTCTCACTTATTTTCATTGTTGTTATTTAATATATATGTTTATTTATACATATCTTTTATAACACTTTAAAAGCATTGTCAATCTTGGTCATATGCACGCCTTCGACAAGAGATTCTCAAGTAAAAATATTTACTTTTTCCACAGAGGAATTAATGCACGTTCATTCAATAACATAGCCCGTATAAACCCCCCTTCCATTATGTTTTCGGATTTTCGACCTTTCAAGATAAGGAAGCTACTAATTTTTTTAACATGTTTAAGATTACCCTTTTCGTTGTTAAGGTAAGCTAGAGATTGGTAAAACAAGAAAGCTTCCATTAGAAAGAAGGCAAAGGGTTAATGAAGAGCTGCAGAAATTTGCAATGCCGACAGCGTGAGCCTAAAGGAAATCTAAGCGATTATCAATTAATAGACGTCCCACCTTGCAAAAAAATAGATGCCCGCTTCAAGAAAGGTGACCAGTTCTAGAATACATTGAATACTTACTAAAAAATAGAAAAGTAAATAGCAGAAAATCCTGCGAAGGGGAACTTGAGCTCGTCAATATATACGTATAATTTCAGTAAAAATAAAGAGCCCCCTTATAAATTTCATTCTGAACAACCCGTAAAGTAAATTATATTACACTTTTTTGATGCTTTCCCGATGCAAAGGTATATAGTTAAAATCGACCATGTTTAAAAAGTTATAGTAAAATGTTTAAAATCCTCTAAAGGGTAGAGTGTTTTGCATAAAGCCAAAGTTGATAATAACAAATAGGTTTTTTTTAATGGCACTATTCTGTAGACTAGAAAAAATTAATGGCCCTCTAGGACGAAGTATCCTCCTCAGAATAATCTTTTTGTTATATTTAAGAGTGACAAATAAGCGCTGCAGTTACCTAAAGTCAGTTTTAAAGAGTTGATGTAAAAATAAAAAATTGATTCCGGTAAGAAGCTTTAATATTAAGCTGGTAAGGGCCTCAAATTACTGTGCTTCTTAGAAAATAAACCATTTAACGCTTCCAACTTAGAGTTATTCATACTAAAAAGCAAAAAGAGTCTCAGCGACCTTACAGAACATACTTTTTTGCTGGAGTGTAAAGTTAGAGGGCACAAGCGCGTTTTAAGGAATTAAAAGTGTGTCGTGAGATAATTAGAGCCAAGTACGACTTTTAAAAAAAAAACAGATTTCCGCAGTTAAAGCTTTACTAGGCGTCTTCTACTTATTTTTGTTGTCCGAATGTGAGCATAGAGCAATAAAAATCAGTTTCTGCTCAATTCCTACTTCCCCTCTTTGGCAACTGCGCTACAGTAAACAAGGCGTACCAAGACAAAAATTGGAAAGTAGGTCACGTGTGCTGAAGTTGTACGATGTATTAAGAAAGAAGAGTGTGAGCAAAGTGTTAGATACAATTATTGCTACCACCTAACCTTCATAGGGATGATCAATCTTGTGTCCTGTGGCAGGGACGGTACCAATATACAATTTTCTCGTAAAGCTCAAATTATAATTTATCTCGTTTTGCTTCTTCCTCTTGCTCACATCGTTTAGTTTTAAATTATCTAAGAAAAAGTAGGAGGCCCTTTATGCTACGATCCAGTATGAGCTCTCAGCTTTATTTATTAGGTCAAATTAATTTTAGTCGCGACCAAAGCATTTCTAAACCGTTCATTATTATGTTTGCACTATTAGCACAGAAACAACTACTTAAAGCTCATCACCTAAAGTAAGGATCTGTTTCTGTTACCTAATTGCATTAAAGCACCTATCAATTTACTTCTTCTCTAAGTCCCCTTATCTACTGTCTTCATTTTTCATGCTCTATTTAAAGCTCCTAGTTATAAATTCTAGTCTCGTTTGTGCACAGCTTCAGCTTAGTTGTGCAATAGCCCCAATCTTTTCTAAGGTCTTAGAAATATCTTTCCACCATATTAGTTTTGTTTATACTATCTTAGCTCTTAAAAATTTAACTTACAAATTTCAGAGAACCCGATTATCATAGGGTCATAAACTTTGAGCGTAGAGGTCTTCCATTAATTTATTAAGTGGTTCATCGGTTATATAGTTGAAAGTGCTTTTAGCGCCGGATATCGTTAAAATAATACTTAACAGAAGCTGAAGTTTTTATTTTCTAAACTGCCTTTTTATTTTGTTTATTTAGTAAATTTCTTTCTATAAAGCTATATAATCTTATCGGGCATTTAAATGTTATTCGCCAGGAGCAGTTATAATTGTAATAGCTGAGAGTGAAGTTGTTACAGTGTAAAAAATCACAACCCAACTATTACTAATTTACATGACACAGCATACTGGTTACCATACATGATTCTGTTATGTAATACGAGCACATTGATCCAATTCAAATTAAAGATTGGAATTATTTCTTGGAAATAGACCCCAGCTCCTAGAAACTACAAATCCTGAATAAAAATGTAAAAGTCAGTTACATTTTGGAATCACAATAAACTCTTAATATTCAGGGAATACCCTTAGTACATCTGCACCCATCTTGAATCTTTTAACGTATATCCTTTATATACTATATAACACAATATATATTATTTATTGCTCTGCAAGCGTATATTTTAAAAGTTACCGACCCAATGATTTTTAAAGTTTCCTGTTAAAATTAAGGCCTTTATCTGTTTGAAGTTTTCTTTTAAGGCTATCAAGCTTCATAAATGAACAAGCCTTTCTAAAGGTGAGGCTCTTTTTTTCTAACCTCAAGACGATTAGTAACGCATTATCGTTAATCCTATAGACCGAAACAATATATAAAACTTGTCCTCCAGCCAAATAAGACAGCCTCATAGATCGAACAAACGTTAAATCAGAATAAATAACTTAATTAGGTTAAACTGAATATATTTAGTTATAGAATAATTAATTAAATCGGATGTATAGATTAAAACTGATTAAAACACGTGCATACACTTCGTGGTTTG